CCAGCTTTGCTGGCTGGGGAATCCTGGGAGTTGGAGTCCACACATCTTAAAGTGGCCAAGGTTGAGAAACACTGTGCTAGACATACTTTCTCACCCTGACTGGCAGTGGCCAGAGAATGCTGAAAGCGTCTAAAATGTTTTGCAAATGTTTATAAAATTCTTTTCCCTACTGGGGTGTTGTTGTTGAAAAAAAGAAGGCCTGTTGCCTTATCAGACGCCTGTCCTTCCTCCAGATGGGACGAGGTAGAAAGAACCGGCTGGCCGGGAGCCCCAGAGCTGGGGCACAGGGTGTGCGTGTGTGCGTGGGTCGAGGAGGAGATCTGCCAATGCCAGCCTGTGGGTGTTGCCCCGCTGGGCTTTGATAGCTCTTTCAGAAACGGAGCTGTGTCAATATGCCAGGAGTCCTCTGGATGGAGGCTGGGGTGGGACAACACAGGGCGAGAGGCTCTCTTGGCAAGGCGTGGAAGGGGAGGCTGGCCCCGGGCTCGGGGCTCCTGGGCCACCGGGCATGACGTGGCCGCTGCGGAGGCCAGCCCGGAAAGGGGCTGCGGGAATGGATCCGGGCCCTGTTTTCCTTTGTCCTTTGTTGACAGGAAAGAAGAATTTAGCAGAAAGAAATCTCCCCAGAAGCCTTTGGCTAAAGGAAACGGCTGGGGGCAGAGGAGACCGAAAGGAGCCGATGCGTGGGGCGGGTGCAAGAGGCAGGTCGCCTCCCGTGCCCTGTGCCTGTGTCCCAACGCTGGAGACCTTGGCCGGCTCTTGATTTCAGGGGGCACAGCTGTGAATGGACGAGCTGCGCCCAGAGAATCGATGGGGTGGCTTTGGGGGAGAACTGACCGAGGGGGAAATATTTAGAGCAGAAAGCAAGTGCTGGGGCCGTCTCAAGCGTCTCAGTGCGGCGCTTTGCAGGTATTAAAGAGGACGGGTGGTTGCAGACGGTTGGGTCACTTATCTGCGGAGGATAAGAGATGGGGCAAAGGTTCCCCACAGGTTTACGAGCTGCCGCTCGCGGGTTGCCTGGGACAAGCGAGAGGAGTTCCCTGTACAAGGAAGAAGTTCATCTGCTGCAGGTGTCTGACACCAGCCTGTTTGGCCACGGGGCTCACCCATCAAAGCATGGCACGCTTGGTAAACTCTGCCAACCTACCTCTAAGTATTTCTTTAAATTACAGGGTGGGATTGAACCAGGCAAAAGCTCAGGAAGGCCTTCCTGTGGCGGGAGGCGAGAGGCGTTGTGCTGGAATGTGCGGCTGGGGGACTGTGGAATATCAAGTCGGGGGCCGGAGGGAGGGTGTCATTCTGGGACGGGGCCGTTCCTTCTAGGCCCATAGTCCTCCGCCTTATTTCCAGGCTTCCGTTTCTTTTCCTTGAGCCCAGAGGAAACGGCGTGCATTTTCACCCCTCCCTTGGCTCCTTTGGGAAGAAGAGCCCGGTGTAAACATATTTCTGCCTGGTGCGCAGGAGACGCCAGAGCCGGGGTTGGAGAGGGCAGGGTGGGGCCGAGCGAGGCCTGGGGTTTTCAGCCCCATCTGTTTTGGGTCGCTCTGTTTTGCTTGGACGGTGGGCTTGTCCCTGTGATTTCAGCGCTAACCATTTTGTAAGAACGATGACAGCTGAGCGACAAATCTTGGGAGGAGGGGGCGGGCATGGCTTCCCTGGCATTTCTGCCAAGCACAGGCAAAGTCATGAGCGTGTTGCTGTTTGCTGGGCCATCACAAGCGCCCCTGTAGATGCTGTTGACACAGCTGGGCCCCGGTCACCTATGGCATAAAGAGGGCATGGCTAGGAAGTGTGGCTGGCACGAGAAGAGCTTCCTGGTGGGGGTTTTTACTGGTTAGGACAAGGCATCCTGGCGAGGCAGCTGGCGAAGGCAGAGCTTAGCTGGTACTGACAGGCGGCCTCCGAAAGCAACAAAGACGCTCACAGAGAGCCACGGGCTCGGAGCTGGTCGCTCAGCTGGGCAGCTCGCCCCGCGCTACGCTTTCCGCCGGCTCACGGTGGTTTGGCTGACGCCACCTGGAAGGCAGAGGTGTCTGGCATCTCAGGGCGCTTTCCCGTCCCAGGTTTTCTTCCCCTTCCCTGAGCTCGTTCGATTTTTTGCTGCACTGAAAACCCAGAACGAATAAATTACGTAATGGTGCCCCACATACACACGGCAGAAAAATAAACAAGAGACAGATAACTTTGAAAGAGGATTAGCCAGATCCAGGAACAAGGAGAAGACCATCAGGCCCCCAGCTAGGATAGCCCAAAGGAGCTCTGCTGATCTTACATTACTTATTTTTTGGGTTCTCGCAACAGTCTAAGACATAAAGGGACTTAAAGTGAATTCGTCGACTTTTCCACCAAGCTTGCTGGTTAACCCTAACCCGGCTTCTTTACACTTTGCGCAAATGGTGCCAGTAAACATCTTAACTGGCCTAGTTAAGCGTGTTGCATGAACAAGGTATTATGCCTCTGAGTACCAGTCATGTTGGGGTGCCGTCAGCCCCCTGTCCTCTTGAGGGGTTCGAAGGCACCCAGATGGCCACGGTGGGAAGCGGGGTCTTGGGATGAGGGAGGCCATGCGGCTCTTTCATGCCTCGCGAGTCAGGCTACTCTTTCATCTTCTCCAGGTTCCTCCTCTGACTCTCCAAGGTCATCGGCGGGCTGTTCCCCACCATTTACCATCCAGAACTTGCTGCATGTCTGCGGGCTCCTCTGATTCCCTCCCCCAAAGTTGAACTCCAGCACTAGATCCTAACTGCTGATGGTTCCAAATTGGGAGGGGTTGCACGTTCCTTGGAAGACTGTTTTCACCAGGAGGAAACATGGGCAGAACTAAGATAAGGGGTAATGTGACCAATTCTGGGCCCAGGAGAGCGCCGCAAACATTGTGATTGCTTAAGTGTCTTATGCCACGAAAAGGGGAGAAGCGTTCCTCCCAGTGCTGTGATTGATAGAGGTGGAAGGTTGGCAGCTGGCTTCAGAGACGACCCGTGGACTCGTTCACCCAAAATAGGTTGGCTTGATTGGGCCTTTGGTTTCGTCCTGAATATTTTAGGCAGGAATGGTTTGTGATGATAGGATGGAGGGGAACCAGGAGGAACTTAGCTTGTCATCTTGGAAGCAAGCATGGACCATAACTCTTCCGTAGTTTTAAGTCTGCCACCCTGCTATAACGCTGTGGTTGCTCAGCTGGAGGTCAAAAACTTGAGCAAAAGCTGGTGAAACATTAGGCGTCGTTGCACGTGACTTTTGGGTTTCCTCTCAGGACCGAATATCATGCTGCTGTATGAGCCAGCATGGCCGAGCACCCTCACAGGCAAAGATGCGAACGCCACGTGCGGAAGGAGCCGTGAGAACAGGCCCGACAACGGCATTCAGTCAGCCCAAGTGCCCCGAGAGCCAGAATTGGCTGTTCTCACCTGCAGAGGACACGAGAGCTTTCCAGCTGCAGGACTGTGGTGGAGGCCCATTAAGAGCCGGGTAGACGAGCGTCGGTGCAGGAGGGAAGTCCCTGCGGCCGGGCGCGGTGGCTGTGACTCCCGAGTGGCCGAGGCAGCCAGGTTCTGAGTGTACGTAGTCAGCAGACCAGGAGTCATGGCACTGCCCCGGGGCTGCAGCAATCACTTCTCCCTCACCGCAATTGGATACCGCTTTCCTCATCAGGGAAGACGCGGGTCGGCTTTGGAGTCGGTGCATTTCTCCTGGCCCACATGTGGTGCAGCTTGAACCCAAGTTCATCCCATTCAGACCCTGCCATCCGAGCGGGCTGCCCTTTTGACTTGTTTATTGGACCGTGGAAAAGCATCTAGACCAGTGCTTCTCAACCTTGGCCGCTTGAAGATGGGTGGACTTCAACTCCCAGAATTCCCCAGCCAGCT